CTTGAGTGCGCGCCGTCACCGATTTTGCCAGCAGACTATCAGTCGTTGGTATTGACAACCAGACTTTAGTCAGTTGCTCTGTGCATCTTTGGAGCCAGACTTTAGTCGGCTCCTAGATAAGATCCCACAAGATCAGCAATCGCCTTGACATCGATTGCCTCACCAACATCAATGACACCTGGTTGCTAACTTCTGGTGGTTCAATTCGCTGCACTGCGTTCCAGCCGCTTTGTTTTTGACGAGCCTCTGCATGCTTGCGGCTTTTGACGCTTCTTTTCGTGTCCGCCTGTTGCAAGATCTATCCAAATCACATTCACGATGTTCCACACCCTCAACACCACCGACTTCTAGCGCTTACTACCTGCGGATGGCTCAATTGCTGTGCGGCGTCCCATTGACAAGCCTCTGCATGCGTACAGCCTTTGACCTCTGCATTTTCCCGCCACCTGAAGTCTTTAATCCAATCAGCCAATGACAGCATCAATGGCAGTGAGAACCAAGATTCTCATTCCGAAAGCCGTCCGTGAACGACATAGACATATAATCATGTTAGTATTTTTTTTTTCACTGATTTTTTGGGAACTAAAAGTCTGGTGCTTAAGGGGAGCAATTTGTCGATACTACCTCAGCTTTCAACGCGACGTTTAACCGCATACAGCCTTCCAACTGCTTTCAAAAGGGATTGGCTACCTACCTCGCTTTGCTCATGGTTAACCAGCTTGCTATCAGGTTTCTCCTGGTTTCTCCACCGTTCGCTCAGACACGAATCTTTGAACATGATCGTTGCCACGCCGCTCGTCCCCTCTTCACACGCACTTTTTGCACGTGTCATTACTTCCTCAAAATAATAAATCATCATCACAAATTGGCTGAAAGTCATCACCTCCAACCCTTTCAAAACGCGCTCTATTGTGGCTGGCCAAAAAGACATCTCAATTTTCTCGCCGATGCAAGTCCAACACTGTTAAAAGTGGCCACGTCAACTTTCAACATGTCGCCATGTCAAATTTCAACGCATCGTCAGG